AATAATGTAACACTCTAAATGCTTTACATGTATTCAGTCATTGACTCTTTAATCTTCACAACAACCATATGATGTAGGTTTACTATTATCCTCGTACTACAGATTTATAGGAAACTGAGGCACAGAGATGATCAAGGATTACACAGCTAGCAAGTAGCAGAGCTTGGACTGTATAGCTCAAGTAATCTTGACCTTAACCACTATGCCAAATGCCAAGCGCTTGTGTCTAACAATAATAACAGTTATCTGTGAAGAGAGACTTAAATATTCATGTAAGTGAGCCCTTTGTGTAATGCTTTAGAGATCATACAGCATTTTTATTTCTCATTTAATTCTCAAAAAACGAGCTCCGTCTCACAGATTAAAACTGGAGGACTGACATTTTAATGTGCCTGAGCTCACAGAATGAGGGAGCAAGAGAGAAGACTCCAGCCTTCGTCGGGACGCCACACCCTGGCTCTGCCTTTCTCGGGCCAGGTGTGGTTTCAGCTGGCTTAGTCTCTGCAGGTGAAGGGCAGTGAAACGAGGGCGGCCCACAGCCCTTGCTGGGGGATACAGTAATGGCAGCAAAGAGTACTTGTCAGTCTTTTAGTCCATCTAGATTTTGGAATCCTCACTCTCCTGTTCCTCAGCCAGTAATTCTAGGTGTCCCTGGGGTTGGGGAGTGGGGAATCGCCTCACCTCTGCAGTAGTTACCGCATGGCAGCCACCTGTCTGCTCCCTGGAGGAGAGTCTGCTGATGACGGAACCAAAGTCACCCGTGACGTGGATGTGAAGCTGGCCCGGGACACATATTTTAGGTTGCGGGTTATAGCAAAGGCATAGTGATCTTTCTATTGGCCTGGAGAATCCCTCTCCCTTGGGTCACATTGGTCTCATAGCTATGCTGTGCGTCAATTTAGACGTGGCCAAAGACTTCAGTATTGCCTTTTCTTCCTGCAGGATTCTCACCCAAGTCCTTGAAGTGGAGCTAAATTTGCAGTCCTGCTCCTGGTGTGGCCCCACCCGGGAGCTTCTTAGAAATGCAGATTCTCAGGCCCCACCCCACTCCTACTGAACAGAATCCCAGGGGAGTCTATTTTAATAAGCTCTCCAGGTAGGATGACCAGCTGTCTTGGTTTGTACCTTATTGAGGGGATTCCTGGGATTAAAACCAGGATGAATTGGTCACCCTTTCTCTAGATGATTCTTAACTGAGCTAGTTGCTGTTGAACAATGGCCATGTCATGTGGTTAGAAGCAGCTCCCCTGTCTGTTCTTGGATTGGGATTATGCTCCCTGCCCTGTTCTTTAGGACAATTTTTTTTTTTTTCCCCAAGAGGCTCCTTGGTCCCTCAAGCAATTAGAACTCAGAGGCTGCCCTACAAGGCCCTGAGGAGAAGGCTAACCATGGCTGAATTAGAAGCTTCAACCGAGACCCTTCTTCCTTTGAAAACCACTTTTTTTCCTGCAGGTGGTCTGAGAAGCCTTTGGTAGCCTGGTGTACAGCTTGTCCTTTTTGCTGGAATGGGGAGCAAACATTTATTGAGCCACACATGCCAAGTACTATCCTCATGTTAAATTATTTTTAATGGGCCATTAAAACAGGTACCCTAAGGATGAAGTGTCAAAACAGTGGAGGGAAAGGACTTGAGGGGCTATATAGCCCCTGCTCCTCAAAATGAGTCCACCTGGTAGCTTGTTAGAAATGCAAAACTTAGGGCCCCACCCTAGACCAACTGAATTAGAGCTTGCAGTTGAACAAGTTCCCCCGGCAGTTTGAATGCACTTTAAAATCTAAGAAGCCAAAGCCTTTGCTTTACAGATGAGAAAACTGACACCTAGAGAGGTTAAGTGATTTGCTAAAGGTCATACAATGAATTTAACTTAGCTAGATTTAGGATCCGGTTGGTTCTGATTCTCAAATCCAGTGCTTTTTCCTACAAGGTTGCTTTGCATATCTGGCCGCCTTCCTACAATGCAATTTTTTGTTTGATTCTATTTATTGAATGAATTTGAACTTAATTCACCTTTAAAAACTATAAATTCTGTCCTCTCATTCAAACTGGACTTCCTTTAGTTTATCTGAGTGGGTGGTACTACTTTGCTTCTTAATTTTGATGTGTGTTTATTAGATTGACTCAAGGTTTGAATGAAGTAATCATTTTCCATCTGATGTAAGTTTCTGGAACTGAATGTATATAAATGCTGCCATCTTCATAAAGACAAGTATTCCATATAAGAAAGAAAAAAATCAAGTATTTTACCATTTTGTTATTGATTTCATCAGTATGCTGTTTACTATTGCACTACACACACACACTGGGGAGAATGTTTGTCCTTATTTGGTTGATCACAGCTGGGTTTGTGGACTTGACCCAGGATCAGTTATTTAAAAGGTTGGTCAGAATTTGGGTTACATGTGATTACAAATTGACAGTGTCCCTATGATAGTGTTTAAAGATGTTATGTGCTAAATCATTAACATGGTTAAACGTATTTACCCCATATTGGTGGACATTTAGGTATGTTAGGTATGATGCCCCTATGATCAGGAGTTTTTCTGGTGCATTTTCTCCAGGTTGTAAAACTCCATCTCATGCCAGGGTGAGTGAGGGGATCTGGGCATTGAATTGCTCCGTATTTCAACAAGTTCCTGAAACTTTCGGCCCCATCCCTTATGCTTGCCTTCAGTGGACCCATTCTTGAGCCTTTTGGGGTTGGCTTTTAATTCTTCCTTTCTCTCAGGCAGTTCCATAAGTCCATCTCTTCTATCTTCTCAAATAACATTGACATCCTCCTTTGCTATTAACTTCTCTCCCAGGCTTTATGCCTTCCTAGTCCTTGATGTCATTTTTGGGGAGTTGGTGGTGGTGGTTGAGAGTGTGTTAAATCTACACTATTTAACTGGAAGTCTTTCATTTACAAATAAATTTTAAAAATATTTTATGTATTTTTTTGGTACTGGTTCTTCCTTATTTCTGATGATGGGTGTTTGTATATTCCTTACCAGTCTTACTTGAGTTTTGACTATTGGTCTTTATGATACACTAACTTTGGGGCATTTTTTTTTTTCAGAAAATTGAATATATTTTCTAATTCTTTAACATCTTTTTTATCTTTACTAATTCTTAACTCACCTCTCCCACCACTAAACCTCTATTTCCTTTTCCCCCAAAACTGCCTGCATTAAAATTTTAAGCATGTTTCTTGGTTGCCTCCTTTACGTCTGTCTTTTAAAGTATAAAAACATGTGAAACTCAGATTTGCTGGAGTAGATGTTTTTATATTTAGTGTTAAACGTTTGAACTTTGATATCCTCTTTGTCCCAAGAATTATTTAGGGGAGTGTTCTATACTTTCTATGTAGGTTTTCTTCTGGAGATGCTAGTCTTTTGTTTTGTAGTTTTATCACATTATTACATGACCTCAATGATTCCACTTTTCTGAAATTTATTGCATTTTGCTTTATGATTTGGGATGTATTAAATTGTGTAAATATTCCATGGTCGATTTGTTATTATTTAGTGATAAGTAACATTTCTGTGTTTTCTTTTATTTAAAAAGAAAAAAAGCAAGAGTGTCGATTTTCTTTGACTTGCCATGGGGTTGCATCCTGATAAATCCATCCTAAGTTGAAAATATTTTAAGTCAAAGATGGTCTTAATCCACCCAACCCACCAAACATTATAACTCAGCCTCACCCACCTTGAATGTGCTCAGAACACTTACGTTGTTCACTCTCACGATGGTGAGTCTGGCTGGGGCTGCGACTTGCTTCCCCACCCTGCATCTCGAGAGAGCGTCTGTGTACTACTTGTTGCTAGCCCCAAAAAAGATCCATATTCAAAGTTCAAAGTGTGATTTCTACTGAATGTGTACTGCTTTAACACCAAAAAATGGCAGGTCAGACCATTGTCTGGGGGCCATCTGTATTTGGAGATCTCCCTCTTCTCAGTTGGTTTCAAGCCTACAGCAGCCTGAGGGCTAAGTCTTCATTACCTGGGTGGTAATGGAGGCAGACCTAGGATGAAATTCTGTGCTGAAAGGTTCTCCTACCTAGGCCCCCCCTGAAATTACAGACACTGAGAGTGCAACACAATATCCCACATAGCCTCAGGTAGAAATTCTGTTTAATCTTGGGCCCTATACCATCATCCAATAGATTTGGAAGTTTCAGAATTTTTAGCCCCAGACTTTTTGCTGCTTATCTAAGTACTTGGGGGTCTGGGCATCCTCCTAGGACCTGACTGTTATCTCACTGTTAATTTAAACACATTCACTTTTTCTCTAAAAGGAAAACAGAGCACTAGCCAGGTGTGTTCTATTCCCCTATATTTGCTTTTTGAGTTGTAGCAAGTAGGATTGCAGGTTCCCTTATCCAGGAAGTCAATAAAAAATATATTGAATGGTTATACTATGCCATTATGATATATGGGCACATGGCATAATCCTGCCCTTGAGAAGCTCATTCATAGTACCAAGCTGGAATAGAATAGAATGATGCATTAACATGGTTGATATGGGAATGTGCAAGTGTTAGGGGAGCACACATTTAATTTTCCTCAAAATTGGAGCAATGGGGAAGACCTCAGGTGCACGACGTGATGTTTCAGTGGGTCTTGAAATAGGGACAGGTGCTGGCAGGATAGAGAAGAAAGGATTCTAGCTGAAGGGAACATTGTGACCATGGTGTGAAGTATGACAGTGGGTAGCACATACAGTAAAGAGTAGTTGGCCTCCTGCCTAGAGAAAGAGTACTGTGTGTGGTTTGGCTGGAGGACTTAGCCTAGAGTCAGACTTGGATCAATCAAGATCATTGATTGCCAGGTAGAGGAACTTAACACATTACTCTGTGGACAATGAGTAGGTTTTTCAGGATGGCATCAGATCTGTCTTTTATAGTTTTAATATTCAAATTTTAGTTCTCTATTGTGAATAAATGTCCGCTGCACAAAATATGACTTGTCTAGATGAGGTGAATGAATTTTTCTTTTCCTGACACGTACAATTTATAATTCAGATGTCTGTGCTACTTGCCATGAACATGCTACCTGCAAGCAAAGAGACGGGAAGAAGATGTGCATTTGCAAATACGGATTTGTGGGCAATGGGAGGACTCAGTGTAATGGTAAGTTCTGAATCTTGGGTTAAGTTGCAAAGTTGAATCAAGGAACAAGCTCTCTAGTGTTAAAGAATTGATGTCCTTGGCGGGGGGTGGGGGTGGGAGGGTGGGGGGTGATTGTTATTTGTTTCCATGTTTTTATTACAAGAAGTTTCTTCAATTATAATAAGTCTTTGTTTTAGTGTTTGGATATATCCTTTCTCTAGGGATTCCAAGGAAATATCCCTGATGTTAGAGGTCATTGAACTTGAATCTCTGGTAGCTCTCTGACCTAACCCATTTGAAATCCATTTTAAGCCTTGGGTTTAATTAAACAACTTGAGTGAATACTGCATTTCTTTATTTCCCTGGTTGTTTTGATCTAAAACTTTATTAGTACTGTGATCAAAACACAATTGCCTATTAAACTTTTTGGCTAATTAGTGAAATACTGTTGCTTTGAGCCTTATGTCTACCAGAATCCATCTTCCACATTTTTTGGAGTTGTAGCTCTTTGGGGCCTTAGGTGGCTTAAAGGACCTTTAGGCTAGAAGAATGAGATTATTTTTTGGCTCATGGCTTCCACCATGCCATAGGAGTCACACAACATCCAGGTTCTGGCCCAATTCAGAGGGAGAGTTTCACAGCAACTTCATGATAGTGAATGTTAGGATAATTGTAGGTTCCCCCCAGCAACCTAGTTGTGTGCAGTAAAAATATGGATAGTTTTGCCAATATGGTTGTGGATCAACAGTGTATACAACCTTGTGATATCTTTGCTTTTTTCTCCCCAAAGAAAAATAACAATTCTGAGTTCCAGAAACCACAGTGTCTTTCCCAGATCACGTACCATTGCCTGTTCCCGTGGGCCAGGGTTGTGCCTGCTTTGACCCTCTCTCTTTAGGATTCTGCCTATGAGAGCTGTGCCAGCCCTGCAGCCCGGGTTCCCGAGGGTGAGCCCCTGGCCCCTCCCCCAGCACTGTGTGCTGGCAGGGCTAGGAAATGGGTTGGAACTGAGCATCAAGGACAGACCTCTGCTCCCTCCCCTGATGACTACGCTGGCGGAGCTCCTGATTGCTCTCGAACTTCAGAACACTAGGAACTTCTCTCAGTGGGAGGAGGGAGCTTTATTAATTTATGTGGTACTTGCTTCCAAATACCAGACAGTGCCTATCCCAGGACTGGGCCTGCTGAGACTGAGCCACAGGTTGATAGGTGAGGTTATTTGTGAGCTAGAGGTGCTATAACAGGGTATTAAGTCAAGGGGCTTAAGAATTCTAGAGTCCCCTACCCACCCGAACCACCTTTCAGGTGAAATCTCAGGGGAGCCATGCCTCAGAAACGATAGCAGAGGACAGGAACCTCCCATTTCACAGGCCACTGGGCTGTGTCGGAGACCCCCGTGCGGTGCTCAGCAGGCTGGACTGGACACGGCTGTGGCTTGAGGGCCTGTTCTGTTTCTGTGCTCTCATGGCGATCTTATGGCAGACAGTTTTAATCATGAATCATGTGCCATTAAATTTTTAAAGAGTTAATACCTATGAGAAAAGTGGGGGAAAGAAAAAGGAATTTTGAGGGGGAATACTTTTTGAGTCACGAATTGGGTGCAATTTTGAGAAGTGATTGAACAGCTTTGAGGAACAATTACCCTCCAACCCCCTGCATTGTTCCTGCCCCCATGAAAAACACCCAGACAACTAGCTGGTTAGATCAGCTTTGAAAAGATGCATAACAGGAGTTTCCCCTGATGGTAGAGGCCAGGGCAGAGTTAGCAAACGCCGGCTGGCGGGTGTTTTTGTAATTTGGCTGCTGCCTGTTTTTGTAAATAGAGTTTTATTAGAACACAGTGTTGTCCCTTTGTTTCCTTATTATCTGTGGCTGCTTTTCTGCTCCAAAGGCGTGGGTAAGCAGTTGCAACCAGAGACCTAAGACTGAGCCTTTACAGAAAAAAAAAACTGCTGACCCCCAGGCTGGAGGACAAGGACAGGAGGGAGGTTTACTTTCATTTTACATCTGTGTCAAATTATTGAATTAGACATACTCGGGTCAGGCTTCTGCCGACTCATCAACTCCCCACATTCCATCTCCTCCTCCCTGGGTGACTGACATCATTCACATGGGTCACTGACAGTTAGCAGGAGCTGTCCCTGCCGCGGCATGAGCCCTGGTCCCGGAGGAAGCTTGCGCACTAATTCCATTGTGTTCCCCGGTAACTCTGAAGTAACAAATTTTCTGGTTGGTCCCTGGATACAAAAATCGTCCTACTCTGGCTTTCATGGAAAAGCAAGAGGAGGACTGAGCTGGAAAAGTGGGATTCCTAGGCCTGTGGCTAGGTCTTTTCAGGCGTGGAAAAGTTCAAAAGAATTCCCTTCTCCCAGTCAGATTGAGATGTTGGGCTTGTCTTGTGGTTTTACGTACACATAGCACATGACTGCAAGGGGCCCACGTCCAGTGGTCTGAGAAGCACAGTGGAAGGAAAAGGGGCTGGGGAAATAGTCCATTGAGGCCCTGTTGTAGAATACTGATTCCTGTGTCAATAGCACCAGAGAACAGTCTGGATTGTTGAACACAGTATGGATCGAAAGCCCTTTCTGTGTGTTGTCTCAATGTATTGACAGATAAAAATGAGTGCCAGTTTGGAGCCACCGTGGTCTGTGGGAACCACACATCTTGCCACAACACGCTCGGAGGCTTTTACTGCATTTGCTTAGAAGGGTATCGAGCCACAAACAACAACAAGACATTCATTCCCAATGATGGCACCTTTTGCACAGGTACTCAAGAAAGGGGCTGCAGTGATGGCAGCCTGCTGATGGCAGGACAGTGTCTGAGGAGGAGGGAGAGAGCAGGGCTGGGACAGGGAGGGACTCAAGGGAAGGGACTGTCCTTTAAGAATATCTATGGGGGGAAATTTGGACATGGACTGAGTATTAGCTACTAGTAGGGAATTACTGTTAATTTTGTTAGGTGGGATAATGGTATTGTGATATTTAAGATAATATTCTTATTTTGGGAGATGCATGCTGAAATATCTAGGTATGTTATTATGAAGTCCATTCCTAGCATTATTATATCTGTATGGTACTTTAAATGGGAAAAACGTGAACAGCTGTTGACTTTTGGCCGGTTGGGCGTATGGGAGTTCACCGTGATATGTTTTTTTCTTGTTTGTTGTTTCTGAACATTTTCATAACAAACAACAAGGAGAGACTCTCAAGAGATGGCATGTTATCTGCAGGTTTCTATAGCCCAAAGTGGGGTGTTCTTGGGGTGACTCACCAGCTCTGTGGACAATGCCCGAGGGCACATCAGGATGTCAGCTCTGGGTGGAGCAGCGTGCTTCCCCTGTTAGAGATATGGGCATACCTCACAAAGGAATAAGCTGACTGGAGAGTTCACCTTTTCAGACCTCAGTAGCTTTGGAAATCAGATTTCTGAGCATATGTTGGTTGAACATAAGGGATTGGCAAAACCCTCCTAATTTTCAGTGGGCCCTCTATTATCTGAACCGTGTACAGCATGCCATGATAATATAGCTCTTTGGTTTTCTCACAAAACATCTGAACGGTGATGAAGGGGAAAGGCAGGAAGACTCCGTTTTACGATGGTTTTGCATTGACTTAATGACTGCTTAAAAGCTTTGTGATATTTAAAGATTTTGTGGGGAGGAGGAGAGGAGGGAATGTTTTATCTTTTTACCCACCAGGAACCATAGGTTCTGATGCTCTGTTTCATTCTCCCTCTTGAGCTGTACCAGGGTAAAAATCCCTGCAAGGGTCCATTTGATTTGTTCTTGGCATGAATGAACACATTCCTTCAGAGGAAACGTATTATAATATCCTATTGTTCTAGGTAGCAAATTACTTGCTACATGGTTGTGGAAGTGCAGTTCTGCAGAATTAAATTAGGTGTGTTTAAAAAAAAAACAAAAGATACCAACGGGGAACAAAAAGCCTACAAGATGATGATCTGGTGTTCAGTTCATTCAATTCACATTTCTCATATGCCTCTATGTGCCAAGGCTCTGCTAGTGGGAGGAGACGGCAGAAAGCTGATTTCAGTATAAAGGTTAGTCATAGGTAAGAAAGGGCACTTACCAGAATCGGGAACCCACAGGGCAACTTCTCTTGGAAGTGGGAAGGGATCAGGAAACTCTCTGGAGGGCATGATACCAGAAATTGTGTTTTCAAGGCTGTGGGAGTTTTCCTGGAAAAAACTTTTATGACTGTATATATCAATATAGTTCCCAAGGATGTGTTCAACTTCTAAAAACATAGGAAGAAGAAGAAAGAAATATTTCACTCAAGGGCCAAATAGATGTCAGCCTAATAAGAACCAATCTTCCTGAAACAAAATCCTCATTTAGTCTCTGCTTCTATTTATTTTATTTCTTGTAATTATTTAGTGACCTTTCTATTTTTAAAAAAATTGATGTATAATTTACCTACAATATAATTCAAATGTACAATTCAGTGGTTTCAGTACATTCACAAAATTGTGCAACCATCACCACTATGTAATTTTAGAACATCTCCATCACCCCAAAAAGAAGCCACAGATCCCTTGGGAGTCACTCCCAGGACCTTTCCTTTTGAGGTTGCTGCTTCTCATCTTGTCAAAGCTGATGGATGATTCTTCTTGAGGATACTGATGATACTGTTTCTTTCAGAATCACAGTTGCCACGGAAGCATCCATGGGCTTTAGCTGGGGCAGAGGCTTAGCTAGTTTGGGGGTATCAGCAGTTATCCTTGTTTGCCTGGAACCACGGATGTGAATCCTAGTTCTTGAAGTCCGAGAAATCCCGCCACCAGGTGTTTATTGTACTGTGCAGAGTTCAAGTCAAGTTCAGGAGCTGGTGGCAGGCCGGCCTCTTTGGGTGTCTCCACCAAATAGACGAGGAACAAGTTGCAGGGGTTCCAGTTCTGGAGAACCTGCAGATGTTCTGGCCCACAGGGCTGTCCCTTGAGCAGGAGCATGCCTCAGGATCACAGAAACTTTGCCATGAGCCACCACCTAGAGGAGGAAGCACAGTGGTGCCTTCAGTCTCGGGGTGGTGGGACGTGGGTGGGCTAAGAGAAAGTGGAGGGAAATGAAGCTGATATGGGGATAGGACCTGGGCAGTCATTTCCCTCCCAGTGTGACTCCAAATAGGCATGGCTCTACTAGGGTCTGCTGAAAACTGCAAAACACCTTTTCTGTGCCTTAGAATTTCCCAAGTCTTGGAAATTTGTCTCAACTTCTTTTTCATAAGCTCATTTCCTAACATATCAAGGCCCTGTTGCTGCTCTTCTAGAGAAATGGAACAGCACTTCAACCTTGGCTGAGAAATGGGGAAAAAGAGGAGAAAAAAGAGCCTGGAAGGTCTTATGGTTTTGACATTCATCGGTGCCGAGAACCTCCCGCCCAAGGCCTGTGTCCCACGTAGGTCTGCCTGTGGCGAAGGAAACACGTTCATTTGTAGGTGTAAATCCCTACTCCTGCCTAAACCATGTAGTTTGTTGGTGTCTCTCCCAGGTCGGGAGCCCTGCTTTCCACATCAGCCTTTGCCTACAGGTTTCTCAGCTGTTCTGCTGTTTCAGGTCTGGGAGCAGCCTGCTGTGGCCCCACGCAAATGCCCGGTCGCACCCACAGGCTGTGTGGGGTGTTGCTCAGTGTGCTTGCAGCTGCCCTGAGGTTTCTCCCAGTGCTCTCTCCAGATGGAACTTTGCATGCCAAATCCCAATTTATTTTTTTTTAGCTGGGTTTTATTCCCAAAGCGTCATGTTTTACTGCTCTAAAAGAAGCAAGAAGCAAGGAAAGCTAAACGCAAGGAAGAGCACACCAGGGTGAGGGGAATGCTCCCTGCTGCCCAGAGCACACTCACAACCACTGGCTTTTGGCCTGCCTTCCCCATGGAATCCTCCTGACTCCTGCTTGGGTCTCCCCCTGGGCTTCAGGCCTCTGCTCCTGCTCCAGCTTCTAGGAAGGAGACAGAGGCCAAAGATTCTGACTCCAAAGATGGTTAAACCAAAGCTCCATCCCCCTAAATGCCAGAGGCCTTGGCCAGGGCCCTATTGCTTCCCTTTGGGAGGGAGAGGGGCATGCCTGAGTCCCCGGCCCCTGGTCCCCAGGCTGACATCTCCCACATTTTGCTCTTGCCTCATCTTTGCTCATGTCCCAGGAGATGGGTACCCCAGGATCTTTCCCAAGGCCCTGTTGAGTATGTAAACTATGTACACAGGGTTCTTTTTTACTCCACTAAAGTTTTGGGAAGAGCAACTGGAACAGGAGCTGGACTTAAGAGTTTTTCTTTGAACCATCTATAAAACAGGTTTTCCTAAGCCAGCTATCAGTATTGGCAAGATTGTGAGGGAAATACTTAGCCTTTTGAATTCAGGCTTTAGCTCATAACCAGCGTATTTCTAAGCAAGACCTCAAAAATGGTTCTCCATTTATTCGTCTACTACTTTAGCAGAAGTTGTATGGAGCTCTGGAATAGAGGTGGGCCAGTTCATCTTGATTATAATGATCCATGATTATTTTTCCCAAAAGGTAACAGAAGAACATGCCAATATTTTTTCCTCAGAAGGACTATAGCCTTGTTTTTTCCACTTATGAAAAAAAAATCCCACATACTTGTGTAGAAAAGTCAAGGAATTATGCAAAAGCATAAAGCAGAAAGAAAAAATCACTTAATATTAATCCCGAGGCAACAACTCTCAATATTTTTTTTAATCTTTTTTAATATGCCTCTATATGTGTGTGTATATATATATATATATATATATACATAATTTTAGATTACAATCTGATTATAATTGAGAACTGATTCTGCTACTTACTAACTAAATGAACTAAGGTCTTTTCCTTAACCTTTCTAAACCACTTCTGTAAAATGAAGCTAAGTATACTAGGTTTTTGTGGGGGGTTAAATAACACAGGGGGAAAGCATTTAGCCCAGTGCCCAATAGGTCCTCAATACATGCCAGCTAACACATGTGAGGGCCTGGCCTCTCGACAGATTTAGTTTTCCACTTCACCATAACTCATACCTGAGCCTGAGTGTGACCATGAGCAGTTTGCACACACATATACACACACTCTCATGGGTTTCTTAGCTGGGGTCCGAGGGGTGGCCACATGACTTGTTCCATTAGATTTGAATGCATGTATATGTTGTTCCACAATCAAGTATTTTATTTCAAAAATATAGTATATTCTTTTCTCTATATCTAACTCTGTCAAGTAAGATAAAACAAAATTATCTTCACTCACAATACATGATCTTTCCATTTCAATAAAAATAAATATGTAACGCATGAGAAATGAAAATATATGTCCACAAAAGACTTGAACAGGAATGTTCATAATAGTCCAACCTGGAAAGAATCCAAAGGTCCCTCAACAGGAGGATAGATAAACAAATTCTGATACATTTCTATAATGGACTACTACTCAACAAAGAAAGTAACTATCTGTTGACATACATACAACATATAGGAATCTTAAAAAAGTTGTGTTGAAAAAAAGATTCCATACACAAAAATGTGCATTATGAAAAAGTCCATTTATATAAAGTATAGGCAAAACTGATTTACAGTGATAGAAGTCAAAACGTGGTTGCTTGGGGGTGGGGTGGGGATTGACTAGAAACATGAGGTATCTTCCTGAGGAGATGGAATGTTCCAGATCTTATTTTGGATGTTGTCTAGATAGTTGTATGAGATGTTCGCAACTCATGAACTGAACACTTGTGATTAGTACATTTTATTGTATGTAAATTATAACTCACTT